ATTTTATGATTCGAGATTCCACATTGTCTTCCTTATAACTCTGATTTTTAATTATGGTTCATAAACAATTGGTTTGAATTGAACGTAACTTTATAAAAATGGGTGTTTATTCTATTGTAAAATGGAAAATTTTATTCTTGAATTTGGAACGTTATAGTGTACAAGATAACATACAGTTTTCTTCGTTAGATCATGACCTTGGTTATACAATGAGGAGTAAAGTCATAGATGAATTGACTAAAAAAATTAGAGGGTATAAAAATTGGTAAGCTTTTGTCAATATTTTTGGACTTAACTTCACAAACGCATACTATGATATTAATATTATCTTTTTTTTTTATATAGATACACTTTCAAAGGGTAAAAGATAATCCAATGACACTCAACAAAAAGCGATTGAATTGTGTTGCTACCACATAACTAACATGTTATATCTTTGTTTATATTCTCTTATGTTTAATATTTTTTAATTTTTTAGTATGTAATGATTCAAGTTGTTTACTTGTAGTCTATGTAGTGGAAAGAAAGTTTCAATAGCAAGTTGTTACATGGGATGAAAGAAAGGGAAATATTAGCAGACAAAAACGTTGTTTTTGTTTTGTTTAAACTTCACAAATTGGTGAAATTTAGTGTTTTGAAGATGTTAATTATTAATTACTCAAAGTATTCGTTTGATGGTGCTTTTAAATGTCTCGAACTCTAAAAATATGGTTTGATGATGTTTTAACATTTTAAAGTAAGCTAATTAAATTTGGCGTTATTAAGATGTTAATTGTTAAGTAATCACTTTATTAATTTGTTAGTGCTTTAAGTAAGTTATTAAATTTGATGTTTTTAAGATGTTAATTACTAATAGTTTTGAAACTCTAAAACCGCAAATTAAAAAACCCAAATCCACACAGTTAATAATAACACAGTATATTGCAGAAAGAAAACACACACCAAATCCACACTGTGAAATACCTAACTACAAACCATTCGATTCACAAAATTAAATAATCATAATTGCGTTTTGTGGTTTGGTATTGATCAATAATTGTACCCAACTGCACCGTGCTCACCCTATCTGTAGAGGGATATATTGCTCATCGAGTTCGTCATAGCAGTATAAAGGAAGCAAGTGGATAACCTGTTAATGGAGTCGGAGTCTGTAGCAGGGTTTCAATTAGCAAGCGTGGAAGTTGAATGGGCTCATGATCTTGTGAGATTTTGTAATCAAAACTGGAGGTTGTCGTGGACATGATTTGAGAACTCGATCTTGAATATGTTATAAAGGAGTAACGCTTTATTGATGTCTTGACTGAAAAGTTTTTGATGATTGAAAGAGTCAAGTTTCTTTATGACGAGAAAGAACCAACTTTTTGATCGCTTGGCTTCTCTTGAGAGGGATTTGGGTTGGTTTTTTTATATTAGTTTCTGAACTATGTGCTATAGTTGCCTTGATTTCCTTAGTTGCTCGACTATTTTCCGGAATCATGCGTTCAGTACAATATTTGTTTATATAAGGCTCTTTTTCGCCTAAGCATGATTCGTCTCCTCATGTTGCTATGACACCATCTCGTTCTCAACATCAAAATGAGATGATTGTTGCGCTTAATGACCTAGCTTCTACGAATTATGTCTTTGGACATGGAGAGAACGTCACTGGCTAGCACTAGATTAGGTCGTGGATGGGTGGTATTCTTGAAGAGATTGAGTACCCAAGTTTTATAATTGAAAATATCGAACACTAGTCAATCAAGTATGTAGGAATTTTAAGTTATGCTGTTTGGAAGAAATTAATAACTCAAAGTTAATTAAATGGAAACTAATAGAAAAATGAAGTAAATTAATTGTTCATTTATTTAAAATTACATGTATGTTGAATAATTAGGTGATAAAGTAGAAGGGTATTTTGAAATATTTCTAATTTAGAAGTAGAGGGAAAAATCTGTTACTTATTATTTTTAGGTCAATTTGAAAATAAATAGGAAATAAAGGGCTTAATGTAAACATAGGTTAAATGTTGGGATCAAAAGTGGAAACTGGGGAGCACCTTATTTTCTTTTCTTGTGAGCGTCAATCGAATGTTAACAAAAGAAAAGAAAATGTTCGTTTCCTTGTGTGTGCCTGGTTAGGTTATGTCTACAATCTAGAAAGAAGGGGAGACCTTCAAGGTCTCTTTGTTTTATGTTGAGTGCGAACCGAACCAGAGAAAGGGGAAGAAGAATCGGAGCACAAAAATCATATAAGGGGTGCGTGATTTCTCATATTTGGTAACCCACTCCTATTGCCCTTCAATTTGAATGATTTTTGAGGTAATAACCAAACCCTAGTAAGTTGACTTTTCGAAAATATTCAAATAAATGTTGAAGTTGGATTTGGACTCATGAATTGCTATGTGTAATGAGCTTAGAAACAAGATTGCATGGCAAAAACTTGAATATCTTGAATGGGACAGATTTGAATTTTACTAACCTTTATTCAAATTGGAATGAAATTATGAATTCCAACACATAATGAAAAAGGAATGGACTAGGTAAAACTTTGAGGATAGCACCGGCAACACCTATTTTCTTTTTCTATCTGCAATGAAATTTTTTGATTTTTTGATTTTTTTACGTATTTTTCCTGCATCAGCAACACCTATTTCAACATCGGCAACAACTTCTATGTATTCCTGCATCCGCCCGTGGGTTACATCATTCTATTTGCTTACACATTTTTGTAAAGCACTAATCACAAACCTTTTTTCACACAGTCATGCGAGACTGAGACACTTGTCCCTGTTGGATAAAACATGAATTTTCACTTGTTTGGAGTACCCCGTATATTATTTGACGATATAAGCTTATACTTGAATGAGAAACAAAATTCATTGTCAATATTTTTTTCTTATAAAAAAGAAGTGTGTAGTCAGTTTTAAAAAAAAAAAGAACTCTGAATATAGGCATATTATACTTTTTTTGTTGGGTTGTTGTCTAAGCTAATAACAACATATGCTTACACCTGATATGAGGAACAAAATCAAATATCAATGTTTTATTCCTTGTCCTGTACGTAGCGCTCATCATGCATAATCATGATTGCACATAATACTTCTACGGATTTTCTACGTCAGTTAATGTCGTATGCAACAATTTCGCATATTAATTAGTTGTGATAAGGAAATTGCACAGCTTTAACAACATGACTCATTGGCTTTAATTTACATGATCTTTGGGTGTATAAGTAATCAAAATAATAGTTAACCATTGCTATAACTCTATTTGTATATCTAGTCACCATGTTCGTTTTTCATGCGATGGAATTGTTTTCAAGTGGGACCCAATTCGTCTTGTAATGCATCAGTGTTTAGCCAACTTATATTTTACTTTGGTTAAAGAACAAAAGCATGTGAGACTTAATGTTTGATATATCACCATCATAAGGTTATGGATCCAAGTGCTGCATATTGTTTACCAATTATATTTTTGATGATAGGTCATGAACAAAAGCAACTATATTTGTTAACTCCAATTCAGTCCCAAAATTCACATTTCCAAAATAATCAACAGTGAAATTAGTTTCTCATTCATACACTAAACAAATTATAGTTAATTCAAAACTGTTCCTTGATCTGATTTCATACAAGTGGGAAAATTGTCTCGATATAAAGACAAACGACAAAAAAACCTAGCTTGCGGTTAATTGGTTGTAAGAATGCTGTATAGAAGTCATAATGCGCCCAAGTGAGAGGCAATATCACTCACTGAATGTATATTCATTGCAGGGAATTGTGAGGCCGCCCATTTGATGAACATACCCAAATTCTTGCTCTGCCTGATCTAGTAATTCTTGAAATGCAGGTTGGCTTAACAACCATACAGGAACCACAAATCGTTTCTTCTCTTGCTCACCAACATAAATTGCTAAATAGCCTTTCGGAATGTCCATAGATTTGGTTGTGCTACTTCCATTGGATAATGATCTTCTGAGAATTTGTTTTGCTTGAATGATCCGAGGAAAAAGGATGGCCATTTTTATGGATGGTAGTTTCTGTTCACTTCAAACGCCTGATTGCAGATGGAAACGCTCAAAACACATCTTCTAGGTGAAAGGTTGCGAAGGATTTCAGAGGAAGTTGTGGTTGTGTGATTCATATCGAATGGTTTTTATATACAGAGATACAAGGTGATCCTTATAGAGGATGGTGACATACGGTGGATGGAAAGGCAAGCTCACATGGTATTGTCTTCCAACCTGTAAGACAAATCCAATGTCCAATTCACCAATTAATGAAAAGGCCACCTATGTTTCAACAAAGCCCTAGAGATATTAGCCACAATTTCGTGCTTGTTAGGAGGCATTGCCACATTCCTCTTAATTTTACATGGGACCATGGTGCTTCTATAGTTTTTCATACCCACCTTAGTTTCGAATACTGGAATACTGGCGATACAAGTTATCTTCTTTGTTAAATTCTTTTCTATACACAAGTACATGATTAAGCCACATTATTGCTTGTGACTTTGTGTAGTGCTATTCAAGATCACACTTTTATAAAAGTTAAAAGACACAACACATGATCTTGCTTTCCTGTCGCAATGTCCCCATCTGTCATTTAATTTCCTTTTTATCACTTATGGTACCTTTGATTGTCCAATAAACCTTTATACATAACATATGAATGTAAAAAAACCAGCATAATTTCCTTGCAACAAACCACCCCCGGTCCCGTGTACGTCTTTCACTTTGAGATGACTCTCAAATTGTTTTGTTTCTCCGTGATAAACCTTCAGAAAAATGGGTATTCGTATGCCTCGGATCATTCAAGCAAGACAAATACTCCAACGGTCTTTGTCAAATGGAAACCGCACAACATCAATGGATCTACCGAAAGGGTATTTTGCAGTTTATGTTGGAGAACAAGAGAAGAAGCGTTTTGTGATTCCTGTGACATTGTTAAGCCAACCTTCATTTCAGGACCTATTACGTGAGACTGAGGAAGACTTTAGACATGACCATCCAATGGGTGGCCTAACAATCCCGTGTAGTGAGCAGACATTATTTGATCTTGCAAGTCGCATGGGAGCATGTTGAGGTCAACTTAATTCATTCTATTCGCTTACATTTTTGTAAATCACAGATCATATTGCAACATGCGAGACTTAGTCACTTGTCCCGGTTGTGTAAAATATGAATTTTGACTTGTTTGGAATACCATGTATATTATATGACTATAAAAGCTTATACTTGACGGAGAAACAAAATTCATTGTCAATATTTTTTTTTTCAAAAACAAAGTGTCCACTTAATTTCTAAAAATAAGTATCAATATACGGATATACGACTTTATTTTCCTTCGGTTGTGGCCTAAGCTTGTAACAACACATGGTTACACCGATATGAGGAGCAAAATTCAAATATCAATATTTTTTTCAATGTTCTGGACGTGACGGTCAAAATGCATAATCGGGATTAAACATAATATATCAACCGATGCTCTATGATTCCCGGTTAATGTCATTATGCAATAATTTTTCATATTAATTAGTCGTGGCGGCCAGAAGGTCACGTCCTGGGAACTACGTCAAAACAACTTAATGAAATAAGTTGTTTTCCTTTATCCTTAAGAGCTCCAAAGCTTATATTTGATTCTTCCCAAGCTCTTGACAAATAAAGTGTCCGTCTTTATCGATTAAGATATCCCAATAAGCCAAGATCTCAACACATTGGTCCTTAATGGCCACTTAACGCATGATTCACCCATTAAGCACTTAATCCTTACAATCTTTGGTCCAAAGCATACATAATGGTATTAGGGATCCTAATGATCCCTAAAATGCAAACTTTTTCGAAAGCATGCACAATGCATGTCCTTTCCCAAATCTAGTTCAAAAGAAGAAATATGACCTAAAACCCATGCAAAGTCTTCCAACCACCCCCAATTTCTAGATTTATATGATATGATGCTTAAGGGACTCAGAGAATCGATAAATTTGCAAACTTTATCTCTTCAAACCATACAAACCACATCAAAAGGGACAAAGCATGGCATTAAACCTAGATCTAAAGAGGAACGCATCAAAAGATGGCAGCTTGAGGACCTACAAAGAGTCTAGAAGATGCACGTAAGTGAGGGGAAAGATTTGATTGCTGAACCAAGGCACCAACTCTTCTTCTTCTTCTTCTTTCTTTAAAACCACCAAAACCTTGCAAAATGAGCACAAAAGCTTCAAAAAAAACATGATTTTGGCCAAATGGTCGTTTGGAGGTGATGAAGGTTGAGGGTGGAGGAAACCCTAGCCATTACTTCTTTTAAATATGGCTTAAGGCCCAAGAATTAGTGTTTTGCATAAAATGGTTGCCACGACGTGGCCAACATAGTGCCAAATCATGGCACTCATTTAAGATGTGTTTCTCAAGCACAATTTTCCACATCGTGGTGATACCTTCAAAATGTCGTTGCCAGCCATATTTTCCAACATAGTTTTGATATTCATACCTTGAAATCCGTATGTTACACATTTGATCTTTTGGGTTGGAAGAAAGAAAATTTGGTCAAATTTTCCATATTGTCTAAACTAGGTACACATGTTTTGGCAATGCCGATCTCAAGGGTTCCATCCGAGTCGACATTTAGTACCGGTTGAAGAGCTATTGATAAGTATATGATTTCTAACACTAGCACCATAGAACCTTTTATTTGTGCACAAGATAGGATACAGTTTTCTTCGGTAGATCATGAACTAGGCTATCTTATGAGGAGTAAAGACATAAATGAATTGACTAAGAAATTATCGAGCTTTTTTCAATATTTTTGGACCTAATTTGACAAACACATACTATGATATTAATATTATCATGTTTTTTTATGCAAATAAACTTTCAAAGGGTAAAAGGTAATCCAATGATGCTCAGCAAAAAGCGATTGAATTGCTTTGCTACCACATAACTAACATGTTATATCTTTGTTTATATTCTCTTATGTTTAATGAGTTTTTAAAATTTTTTAGTATGTAATGATTTTGGTTGTTTACTTGTAGTCTATGTAGTGAAAAGAAAGTTTCAATAGCAAGTTGTTACATAGGATGAAAGAAAGGGAAATATTAGAAGACAAAAATGTTGTTTTTGTTTTGTTTAAACATCGGAAATTGGTGGAATTTAGTGTTTTTACGAAGTTAATTGTTAATTACTCAACTTATTCATTTGATGGTGCTTTTAAATGTCTCGAACTCTAAAAATATGGTTTGGTGGTGTTTTAACTTTTTAAAGTAAGCTACTTAAATTTGGCGTTTTTAAGATATTAACCGTTAAGTACTCACTTTATTAGTTTGTTAGTGCTTTAAATAAGTTATGGAAATTTTACGTTTTTAAGATGTTAATTAATAATAGTTTTGAAACTCTTAAAAACCACAAATTAAAAAACACAAATCCACATGGTTAATAACAACACAAAATACTGCAGAAAGAAAACCAAACCAAATCCAAACAGTCAAATACCAAACTAAAAACCACATAAAAAACCACATAACCACACCATTCGGTTCGCAAAATGAAATAATTGTATTTGTGTTTCATTGTTTGGTTTTGATCAATAATCGCACCAAATTACACCATGCACGCCCCTATCTTTAGAGGGGTATATTGGTCATGAAGTTTGTTGTAGCCGTATAAAGGAAGCAAGTGGATAACATGGAGTCCATAGCGGGGTTCCAATTAGCAAGCGTGGAAGTTGAATGGGCTCATGATCTTGTGAGATTTTGTAATGAAAAGCGGAGGTTGTCATGGACATGATTCAAGAACTCGCTTGAGTATGTCATAATGGAGTAACGCTTTACTGATGTGTTGTATGAAAAGTTTTAGATGATTGACAGAGTCAAGTTTCTTTATGATGACAAAGAAGCAACTTTTTGATTGCTTGGCTTCTCTTGAGAGGTATTTGGATTGGTGTTTGGATTGGTACTTGCCTTAATTTTCATAGTCGCTCGACTATTTTTAAGAATCATGCGTTGAGTACAATATTCGTTTATATAAGGCTCCTTTTTCGCCTGAAGCATGATTTGTCTCCTCCTATTTCCATGACACCATCTCCTTCTCAACATCAAAATGAGAAGATTGTTGCGCATGATGACCTAGCTTCTACGAATTATGTCTTTGAACATGGAGAGAACGTCATAGGATGACACTAGCTTAGGTCGTGGATGGGTGGTATTCTTGAAGAGACCGGGTACTCAAGTTTTATAATTGAAAATATCCAAGAACTCAAGTCAATCAAGTTTATAGGAATTTTAAAAGCATGCTATTGGGCAAAAATAGAAATCAATAACTCAAAGTTTATTAAATGGAAATTAATAGAAAAATGAAGTATGTTAATTGTTCATTTATTTAAAATGACATGTGTTGTAAAATACGACGGATCCAAATTGACTTAAATAATATTAGCTCAATGCGGAATGGGATCAAA